TATGTTGTGTTAAATGGGAATCATAGCCCATGGTGAGATGATAGTGATATGTTGTGTTAAATGGGAATCATAGCCCATGGTGAGATGATAGTGATATGTTGTGTTAAATAGGAATCATAGCCCATGGTGAGATGATAGTGATATGTTGTGTTAAATAGGAATCATAGCCCATGGTGAGATGATAGTGATATGTTGTGTTAAATAGGAATCATAGCCCATGGTGAGATGATAGTGATATGTTGTGTTAAATAGGAATCATAGCCCATGGTGATGGGCAGTTAAGGCCAAAAATGAAGTTCCTCTTTTTCCATTGCATAAAGCTTGGACAGTAATGTAATGATCTAAGTTTAACTTCAAAAATAGATGTTTTACTGTACGAAGATAAACATTGACTTAAAATAACAGGCAGGGGCTTAGAAAGGTGTTGGCCAGTACAGACAGTAATGAGGTTAGCATGACTGTGGTGTGACACGAGGAGTTATGCGTAAAGGCTGAAAGGACTGAACTTGGTTCTGTGTTTGTTGCTGGAGCAAGGAGCATGGAAGAGTAAAGGCTGAAAGGACTGAACTTGGTTCTCTGTTTGTTACTGGAGCAAGGAACATGGAAGAGTAAAGGCTGAAAGAATCAAACTTGGTTCTCTGTTGCTGCTGGAGCAAGGAGCATGGAAGAGTAAAGGCTGAAAGAACTGAACTTGGTTCTGTGTTTGTTGCTGGAGCAAGGAGCATGGAAGAGTAAAGGCTGAAAGAACTGAACTTGGTTCTGTGTTTGTTGCTGGAGCAAGGAGCATGGAAGAGTAAAGGCTGAAAGAACTGAACTTGGTTCTCTGTTTGGGGCTGGAGCAAGGAGCATGGAAGAGTAAAGGCTGAAAGAACTGAACTTGGTTCTGTGTTTGTTGCTGGAGCAAGGAACATGGAAGAGTAAAGGCTGAAAGAACTGAACTTGTTTCTCTGTTTGGTGCTGGAGCAAGGAGCATGGAAGGCTGAAAGAACTGAACTTGGTTCTGTGTTTGGTGCTGGAGCAAGGAGCATGGAAGAGTAAAGGCTGAAAGAACTGAACTTGGTTCTCTGTTTGGTGCTGGAGCAAGGAGCATGGAAGAGTAAAGGCTGAAAGAACTGAACTTGGTTCTGTGTTTGGTGCTGGAGCAAGGAGCATGGAAGAGTAAAGGCTGAAAGAACTGAACTTGGTTCTGTGTTTGTTGCTGGAGCAAGAAGCATGGAAGAGTAAAGGCTGAAAGAACTGAACTTGGTTCTGTGTTTGTTGCTGGAGCAAGGAGCATGGAAGAGTAAAGGCTGAAAGAACTGAACTTGGTTCTCTGTTTGGGGCTGGAGCAAGGAGCATGGAAGAGTAAAGGCTGAAAGAACTGAAATTGGTTCTCTGTTGCTGGAGCAAGGAGCATGGAAGAGTAAGGCTGAAAGAACTGAACTTGGTTCTGTGTTTGTTGCTGGAGCAAGAAGCATGGAAGAGTAAAGGCTGAAAGAACTGAACTTGGTTCTGTGTTTGTTGCTGGAGCAAGGAGCATGGAAGAGTAAAGGCTGAAAGAACTGAACTTGGTTCTCTGTTTGGGGCTGGAGCAAGGAGCATGGAAGAGTAAAGGCTGAAAGAACTGAACTTGGTTTTCTGTTTGTTGCTGGAGCAAGAAGCATGGAAGAGTAAAGGCTGAATGAACTGAACTTGGTTCTGTGTTTGGTGCTGGAGCAAGGAGCATGGAAGAGTAAAGGCTGAAAGAACTGAACTTAGTTCTGTGTTTGGTGCTGGAGCAAGGAGCATGAAAGAGTAAAGGCTGAAAGAACTGAACTTGATTCTGTGTTTGTTGCTGGAGCAAGGAGCATGGAAGAGTAAAGGCTGAAAGAATTAAACTTGGTTCTGTGTTTGTTGCTGGAGCAAGGAGCATGGAAGAGTAAAGGCTGAAAGAACTGAACTTGATTCTGTGTTTGTTGCTGGAGCAAGGAGCATGGAAGAGTAAAGGCTGAAAGAACTGAACTTGGTTCTGTGTTTGGTGCTGGAGCAAGGAGCATGGAAGAGTAAAGGCTGAAAGAACTGAACTTGGTTCTGTGTTTGGTGCTGGAGCAAGGAGCATGGAAGAGTAAAGGCTGAAAGAACTGAACTTGGTTCTCTGTTTGGTGCTGGAGCAAGGAGCATGGAAGAGTAAAGGCTGAAAGAACTGAACTTGGTTCTGTGTTTGGTGCTGGAGCAAGGAGCATGGAAGAGTAAAGGCTGAAAGAACTGAACTTGGTTCTGTGTTTGTTGCTGGAGCAAGAAGCATGGAAGAGTAAAGGCTGAAAGAACTGAACTTGGTTCTGTGTTTGTTGCTGGAGCAAGGAGCATGGAAGAGTAAAGGCTGAAAGAACTGAACTTGGTTCTCTGTTTGGGGCTGGAGCAAGGAGCATGGAAGAGTAAAGGCTGAAAGAACTGAAATTGGTTCTCTGTTGCTGGAGCAAGGAGCATGGAAGAGTAAAGGCTGAAAGAACTGAACTTGGTTCTGTGTTTGTTGCTGGAGCAAGAAGCATGGAAGAGTAAAGGCTGAAAGAACTGAACTTGGTTCTGTGTTTGTTGCTGGAGCAAGGAGCATGGAAGAGTAAAGGCTGAAAGAACTGAACTTGGTTCTCTGTTTGGGGCTGGAGCAAGGAGCATGGAAGAGTAAAGGCTGAAAGAACTGAACTTGGTTTTCTGTTTGTTGCTGGAGCAAGAAGCATGGAAGAGTAAAGGCTGAAAGAATTAAACTTGGTTCTGTGTTTGTTGCTGGAGCAAGGAGCATGGAAGAGTAAAGGCTGAAAGAACTGAACTTGATTCTGTGTTTGTTGCTGGAGCAAGGAGCATGGAAGAGTAAAGGCTGAAAGAACTGAACTTGGTTCTGTGTTTGTTGCTGGAGCAAGGAGCATGGAAGAGTAAAGGCTGAAAGAACTGAACTTGGTTCTCTGTTTGGGGCTGGAGCAAGGAGCATGGAAGAGTAAAGGCTGAAAGAACTGAACTTGGTTTTCTGTTTGTTGCTGGAGCAAGAAGCATGGAAGAGTAAAGGCTGAATGAACTGAACTTGGTTCTGTGTTTGGTGCTGGAGCAAGGAGCATGGAAGAGTAAAGGCTGAAAGAACTGAACTTAGTTCTGTGTTTGGTGCTGGAGCAAGGAGCATGAAAGAGTAAAGGCTGAAAGAACTGAACTTGATTCTGTGTTTGTTGCTGGAGCAAGGAGCATGGAAGAGTAAAGGCTGAAAGAATTAAACTTGGTTCTGTGTTTGTTGCTGGAGCAAGGAGCATGGAAGAGTAAAGGCTGAAAGAACTGAACTTGATTCTGTGTTTGTTGCTGGAGCAAGGAGCATGGAAGAGTAAAGGCTGAAAGAACTGAACTTGGTTCTGTGTTTGGTGCTGGAGCAAGGAGCATGGAAGAGTAAAGGCTGAAAGAACTGAACTTGGTTCTGTGTTTGGTGCTGGAGCAAGGAGCATGGAAGAGTAAAGGCTGAAAGAACTGAACTTGGTTCTGTGTTTGTTGCTGGAGCAAGGAGCATGGAAGAGTAAAGGCTGAAAGAACTAAACTTGGTTTTGTGTTTGGTGCTGGAGCAAGGAGCATGGAAGAGTAAAGGCTGAAAGAACTGAACTTGGTTTTCTGTTTGTTGCTGGAGCAAGGAGCATGGAAGAGTAAAGGCTGAAAGAACTGAACTTGTTTCTCTGTTTGGTGCTGGAGTAAGGAGCATGGAAGGCTGAAAGAACTGAACTTGGTTCTGTGTTTGGTGCTGGAGCAAGGAGCATGGAAGAGTAAAGGCTGAAAGAACTGAACTTGGTTCTCTGTTTGGTGCTGGAGCAAGGAGCATGGAAGAGTAAAGGCTGAAAGAACTGAACTTGGTTCTGTGTTTGGTGCTGGAGCAAGGAGCATGGAAGAGTAAAGGCTGAAAGAACTGAACTTGGTTCTGTGTTTGGTGCTGGAGCAAGGAGCATGGAAGAGTAACTGCGTGTGAGTCAGAAGACTGATTCTAAACAGGCAGCCTTCAGCAGCCATGGTTACTGGTCAAGATGGAAGTCTGCCTGATGACAGTCAATTGTTTTGAGAGTGAATATTTTAACATGATGTTGAACCTGCAAACAATTGTCTTTGAACTTGATGTGCATGCAGAATGATGTATTGTGAGTAAGTAAATTGCTGCGTGTGATGCAGTCAAGCTGAATGCTTGCCAGTCTAACCTTAGACAACAGATCAAGGGCAGACAATGACCATGCAACCTGGAACAGATATCAAACATGTTGTATGCCAAGCATCATGTTTCGTCCAATCTGTTGTCACTTTCTGCATATCATTTATCACAGTTGCTGTATACACGGACAGTCATAGTCCCAGCCCTCTGCAGTGTTACTTTGCTACCATTACAGTATTGTAGAGAACCATGTGTTTGCACATGCAGCATGATCCCTCCCTTGGTCTGGCTTATTGACTCCACACAAGTGGTAACACCAGCATGTTGGAGAAAGCATGCTGCAGAAGTTGCTGGATCATAAGAGCAGTGCTCTGTCTGGCCAGGAGCATAATTAACCAGTCAGAAATTCTTCTGTCATGTCTACTAGAATGCACTGTTACTATTCTTTTTTTCCCCCTAAGACCCTGGAAACACTCTGAAAAGTGAAAAACAAATTTAAAAGACCAACAAAAAAAAAACTGTAATCAGATACACATGTGCCACAGTGGTAGATCAGCTAGACACTTGCCTGCCGGATTGTTTGGGTTTTAATCTGCATTGAGTCTGATTTTTAAAATGCAAACAATGACCTTGGCTGCCAGGTTGACCCAGCTTAAAATGGCTACCTCGTGAAGTCCTGGCAATGAAAGGTGACCAGCAGGATGTTAACCCCATCAGGCATCTAGTGCCAACTGGTCTGCAAACATATGAGTCAGGCATCATATGCCACTTCTCTACTGGCAGGAAAAAGAGTAATTTTACTTTTGTTTTATTCAGATGTATCTTCTAATATGTGAGCTTTTGTTTCTCTGCAGCAGCCATCTCTGAGATCCACTTCCAGCCTGCACTGCTGAGCATGTTTGCTGGGACAGAGAATGTGGAGCCTTCGGCTGCAGACAGAGCACGAGAAGCAGCAAAACAACATATGTGGGATTTAAATTTTGCTGAGTTTGGCAGGTAAGAGAACACAGACGACAGGGAGGGGTCAAAGATAGGAAGAGTTGACAGAGTTAGGAAGGAGAGAGAGAAAAAAAAGGATCGATATATAGAAGGAGAAAAGGGATGGAGAGATAAAGAGAAAGATAGAAATAAGACTAACAGATATAAAGGAGAGAGATGAAGAGAAAGAGAAATGCACATGTACACACAATACATACATGCACACAAACTGTTGATGAAAAAACACACAATCTTGCTACCATTTAGATTCACCGGGGACAATTAAAGGCTAGCAAAAACATATTTTTTTCCACAGTTGGTTACAGACAGGATGAAATAATACAGTGGAACTTGCTTCATCGTAACGGATTTAATGAATTTATATTTTTCAAAATATCTTATGTGTTACATCTTCAACTTTGTCTTCAGCTTTCTAAGCATTTGAGGTTCTTAGCTGAAACTATCACTTGCCTTAATTTCTCTTTGATTTCAATATCTATGTAGGTCTCTCTGCCATCTTACTGACCACACAGCATTGGGATGTTTACAGACCATCATAAATGTACAGACTTCTTTAGTCTGACATGTTCTTCACATTTACTGGCTGTAAACTTCAATGGAAAATTTTGGTTGTTCATCCACATCTGACTTTGGTCTTGTTCCAAAACTTTCCAGAAAGTTTTGCATGCATATCCATGCTACATATCTGGCTTATTTGTATGCAGAATGTTGGTCCTCACCTCTCAGGGGAATGCACTCCAACCTCTCAGGGGAATGCACTCCAACCTCTCAGGGGAATGCACTCCGACATTGAAGGAAACAACCCCTAATTAGTCTAATTTGACAACTTGCTTGTTAGGCAGGTAATGGGTCAGTTCCTTTTGCCCCACAAAATGGGGCCCTGTATTTCTTCTGTTGCTTGTCGCATTATCAGAATATTTTCTTTTTATATGTTTTAAACATTGATGAGTTAAGGTTTATTTTTACCCCCCCCCCCCCCCCCCCCCCCCCCCCCCCCCCCCCCTCCCTTTTTTTTTTCTTGAATGCATGAATGTTTACACATTTTTGTTACAGTTAAATATTCGGTAATGTTTTAAAAACTGTATCATCCAAAACTGACATAAGCAAGTTAAAGAGGAGCCCTTTTCATACCAGTGATATATACAGCAAGTGATGCTCGGTTCATTTGTGCATTGCATGATGACCACTCACATGGTGGTGTGACTTTCTGGCCACTCTTAATTACAATACAACTCTGATAAAAAACCTGGCTTTAAGAGCAAAACACAAGGGACCTGGTTCTGATGTGTGTATTCATAGAGGCAGCCAACTTGACGATCTGACCCAAGTATACAAAACCAAATGCAAAGAAAAAGACAACAACAAAAAAAAGAATTCCAGGGCATTTCTTTACAACAGTTTTAGGTTGGGTTGACCTGGGAGATCTCAAAAAAAAAACAAAAAAAACCACAAGTGTTGTTAAGGAATATGGTCAGCATTAGCATTTACGTCCGTGAGCTGTTGGTTGTACGTGAGTTTGAGTACCTCAGCACTCAAATTGTTGACTTTTTTTCTAGATGCAGAACTAAAATGGATGAATAAGAAATGTTTCTGCCGTGCTTTCCAAACTCACAAAAGTGTGGTCAAACAAAGAAAGTGAGAGAAAAGAACCAAAGTTAAAGTTTATGAATCCTGTCCTGAGCACGCTCTTTGATGGTGGCACCTTGATGGTAGCAGATCCTGGACTCAACATGCACCTCAAGGAAAAATGACTGAACACCTACAGGCTCAGTATGAGACACAGTTTGGGCATATGATGGGGAGACTGTGTTCCCATAATTATCCACATCGTGTGTTGTGCCAGTGAGTGTTGGCTGTCATGTTTAGCCATCTCACACAATTGCCAGTCATGGAGATCAGGTCAGTCTTTTTGTCTCATCCCATCCATATGGCTAAGCCATACAGGTATTTATCTCTTTGCCTTCCTCTTGCTCTCTTTTCATCAGTGTTGCCAGTTGTTACCAAGTTCTCCAGTCCATTCCTTCTCAGAACATGTCCATACACACAAAATGACTGTGTCTGTGTCTGACTTCTGATAAGTTTACCACTTTCATCTGTATCAGTGAGGACCACTTTCTTGTTTTTCGAACCCTCCATGATATTCTTTCTTTGCATTCTTCTTAAAAACCACATCTCTGCCTCAAGTAAATGTTTTTCATCTTGTCTGCTCGGTGTCCCTGTCTCACATGGATATAACAACCCAGGTTCTACATTGCACTTTAACACTCTTTCTCTAACTGCAATTGACATCTTCTTATTGGTAAGAATCTTTTGCATTTAGCTTAAGGCCACTTTTGCCATGATGATTCTTATTCTAGTTTCTGCAAGGCATCTTGTGTCAGATGTTATGACACTTCCAAGATACTTATATCTGTTCACTTGCTTAGGAATTTTGCCATTTGTATGTATTTATCACTTTGGTATTTGTTTCTTCTTGATGATTACCACCGTTTCGGTTTTTTTGCGACTTTACTTTTGGATTTAGTTTCCCACTTTGATCCCAGTGAATGTGTACTCAGGAAAGCAGTGAATGTTTACTCAGGAAAGCAGTGAATGTTTACTCAGAAGAACAGTGAATGCCCACAATGTACTTTCTACTGAAGCTGTGTTTGGCACATGTCTGCCACATGGAGTATGGTTGTATTCCAAAGGATCTGTACGGTGAACTGAAAAGAGGGAAAAGATTTACAGGAAAGCTAAAGCTTTGCTGTAAGGACATATGCAAAGGTGACCTGAAAGATACTGCAGACACTTGAGAGATAAGCTGCAGACAGGCTCCTGTGAAGTCTGAAGTCAAACAATGAAAGATGGACTGCTGCACTGTGCAAGAGGCTCAGCACAGCAGGCCAAAAAAAAAAAAGACTTCTGAGAGAAACCTAGCCTCAGTATAATAGAGCATCAATGTTTTTATGTAAAATTGAATGTTGAATTGTATATCCGTCTCCTACTTCCCCTAAGTGTTGAGCGTCGGCCACATCCCCTGGTAACTCCTCGCAGTGCCATTCTCCTCAGACCGTAATGATCCATCTGTGCATCTGCACTGTTTTGCTCTTTCCCAAAGGGCCCTCACAATATCTAGCTTGTCATACATTAATTCACCACAAAATGGTGCAGAGCTGGCCAGTCTATCTGCCAGCTCATTTCCCAACACAATGGCATGACTTGGATAAAATATCTTAAGGGTGCTAACTACCCAGAACCTCTGAAGTGATGCTACATGACAGAGATTGCCGCTGCCACATAGGACTCTACAGTTGTAGGAGATGCTGTTCCAGGAACTAGTGGACAGCACCATGCACCCTAGAGGCTTACAGTTGTAGCAGATGCTGTTCCAGGAACCAGTGGACAGCACCATGCTCCCTAGAGACTTACAGTTGTAGCAGATGCTGTTCCAGGAACTAGTGGACAGCACCATGCTCCCTAGAGACTTACAGTTGTAGCAGTTGCTGTTCCAGGAACTAGTGGACAGCACCATGCACCCTAGAGACTTACAGTTGTAGCAGATGCTGTTCCAGGAACCAGTGGGCAACACCATGTTCCCTAGAGACTTACAGTTGTAGCAGATGCTGTTCCAGGAACTAGTGGACAGCATGTTCCCTAGAGACTTACAGTTGTAGCAGATGCTGTTCCAGGAACTAGTGGACAGCACCATGCACCTAGAGACTTACAGTTGTAGCAGATGCTGTTCTAGGGAACTAGTGGACAGAATCATGTTCCCTAGAGACTTAAGTTGTAGCAGATGTTGTTCTAGGAACTAGTGGACAGCACGTTCCCTAGAGACTTACAGTTGCAGCAGATGCTGTTCCAGGAACTAGTGGACAGCACCATGCTCCCTAGAGATTTACAGTTGTAGCAGATGCTGTTCCAGAAACCAGTGGACAGAATCATGTTCCCTAGAGACTTACAGTTGTAGCAGATGCTGTTCTAGGAACCTGTGGACAGCACCATGTTCCCTAGAGACTTACAGTTGTAGCAGATGCTGTTCCAGGAACCAGTGGACAGAATCATGTTCCCTAGAGACTTACAGTTGTAGCAGATGCTGTTCTAGGAACCTGTGGACAGCACCATGTTCCCTAGAGACTTACAGTTGTAGCAGATGCTGTTCCAGGAACCAGTGGACAGAATCATGTTCCCTAGAGACTTACAGTTGTAGCAGATGCTGTTCCAGGAACCAGTGGACAGAATCATGTTCCCTAGAGACTTACAGTTGTAGCAGATGCTGTTCCAGGAACCAGTGGACAGCACCATGCTCCCTAGAGACTTACAGTTGTAGCAGATGCTGTTCCAGGAACTAGTGGACAGCACCATGCTCCCTAGAGACTTACAGTTGTAGCAGTTGCTGTTCCAGGAACTAGTGGACAGCACCATGCACCCTAGAGACTTACAGTTGTAGCAGATGCTGTTCCAGGAACCAGTGGGCAACACCATGTTCCCTAGAGACTTACAGTTGTAGCAGATGCTGTTCCAGGAACTAGTGGACAGCATGTTCCCTAGAGACTTACAGTTGTAGCAGATGCTGTTCCAGGAACTAGTGGACAGCACCATGCACCCTAGAGACTTACAGTTGTAGCAGATGCTGTTCTAGGAACTAGTGGACAGAATCATGTTCCCTAGAGACTTAAGTTGTAGCAGATGTTGTTCTAGGAACTAGTGGACAGCACGTTCCCTAGAGACTTACAGTTGCAGCAGATGCTGTTCCAGGAACTAGTGGACAGCACCATGCTCCCTAGAGATTTACAGTTGTAGCAGATGCTGTTCCAGAAACCAGTGGACAGAATCATGTTCCCTAAAGACTTACAGTTGTAGCAGATGTTGTTCTAGGAACCTGTGGACAGCACCATGTTCCCTAGAGACTTACAGTTGTAGCAGATGCTGTTCCAGGAACCAGTGGACAGAATCATGTTCCCTAGAGACTTACAGTTGTAGCAGATGATGTTCTATGAACCAGTGGACAGCACCATGTTCCCTAGAAACCTACAGTTGCCTACAGACCTAGGAACATGGGTAGGTTAAATAAAATCAGAATTGACCCAAGACCCTAGGGTCAGCAGGCAAGCACAGTTGCATTTCATTAGAAGAAACTTTCTCATCCACTAGGATGATCTTTACTGTAAACTAGATAAAATAATCTGTAGAAAATGTACATCAGTTCTTGTGTTGGTAACCCTGCTTTCACATTGTGTCATCAGAGGGGTGTCGATGTATCGGACACCAGAGACCCACCAGCTGGTCATCAGAGGTATCCCAGACTGCTACAGGGGGGAGATGTGGCTGGTATTCTCTGGAGCTGTCAATGAGGTATGTTTCTTGTGTGACATCTTTTATGATGTCATTCTGCAGGACCTGGCTACATACTCTGAGCTGCTGGCCAACCAGCCCAAAGGCTTTTGGGTTGAAATCAGCATTGATTGGGACATGGGCTGCCATGTTGTCACAACCTAAACTGGTACCAGATCCTGGAAGGTAAAGGCAGCCTATGTCTTTTGACAGCATCATCAGTCTAGTGCCATTTGGTCTTTAAAAATATGGGTCTAGCTCCATAATCTCTGGTGGTGTAGTGGCTAGACATCTGCGGCCCCGAAGGTGAGGGGTTCAAATCTGCATCGAGGCAGGTATTTCCCCTTCCCCCTCAAAATTGACCCTGGCTACCAGTTGACCAGAGCCTCAAATGGATACAAGTGATGTCCTGGCTATTAAATGTAGCCGGCATGATGCTAACCAAATCACCCGTCAATTGCCAGTTGGTCTATGAAAATATAGGTCTAGCGTTATATGTCCAATATATCTTTACTTGACCTCTGCTGGCCACTTAACTTTTTTTTTCTCAAACCATATGCCCAATGTACCTATGCCATAAAGGTGGTCATTTACTTGACTTGTCCTGCATGCGTGGAAATTATGATCATAAGACTTTAAGATTTATACACTTTAAAAAATAATTTAAATAATGCGGATTCACATTATTTTAATTTATTACGGGAAAACATTGTTTTGAAAAAAAAAATTGTTAGCAAAAATTGTTCTGTCTATTGTCAAAAATGGAACAGGCTCAAACTGCATTTTATAATTTTCGACTGTGACCAACATGTTGGTGTGAATTGTAGATTCAGAAAATGGCGCGATGCCTGTCGTGCAGTGTTGTGGTGCCCGTATGTGATTAAAATTGATCGAGTGGGCAACTGCTGATCTGTTGGCGACTTCTGCTACCATCAATGATGAACTGCAATTCTAATACTGTGATAAACATTCTGTGTGTTTTTCGTTGGCTCAGGAGCGGAGCAAAGATGGGGTGACCCGTTTGCTATGAAGCTGAAACTAAGACTACCAGACTACCAGTTGCATTTTATAAAATGAAGAACATTTTATGCAATAAATCAGTGTGACTGAAGGTTAGAAAACAAATGCTCCTATGCTATATAGAGCCAGTTTTAACATTTACTTGTGATTCCTGGATAATTAATAAACAAGCCAAGCAGTTTCTTGAGGCCTCGAATTGCAGAAGAAACCCTGACAGCCAAAAAAGAAACAAAACAAAAAAAAAAAAAGAAAAAAAAAGATGTTTTGAAAGAAGCAAGGGCTCAAAGACAGTTTATCACAAACATCTGAAAGAGACTGTCATCATTTTTTTGGGGGTCTGTTGTGAGATAAGGAAGCTGAAACATGTTGTGACCATGGGAAAGATCTGTGGAAAAAAAGAGACAGAGGAAGACAACATGAGATGCTTCTAGACAGCTTTTTGTCATGGCATTGAGGGTTGTCAACAGTTTCTAGACAGCTTTTTGTCATGGCATTGAGGGTTGTCAACAGTTTCTAGACAGCTTTTTGTCATGGCATTGAGGGTTGTCAACAGTTTCTAGACAGCTTTTTGTCATGGCATTGAGGGTTGTCAACAGTTTCTAGACAGCTTTTTGTCATGGCATTGAGGGTTGTCAACAGTTTCTAGACAGCTTTTTGTCATGGCATTCAGGGTTGTCAACAGTTTCTAGACAGCTTTTTGTCATGGCATGCAGGGTTGCCAGCCGTTTTTTGGACAGCCTTTTGTCATGGCGTCGTCTCTCTCGGTCTGCCTCTGCCCCTTTTTCTACTGATCTTTCCAGTTGTCACGATGTTCTACAATATCTCTCTTCTTATAATGTGGCCAAAGAACAGTGTTTGTCTCTTTCTTGTTGTTGTATATAGAGATCTACTTTCATTAGCTTCTTTCAAGCAATCGTTGTTGGTTACTCTGGCCGTCCAAGGTATTCGTAACAGCAACCACATCTCTGTTGCTTCCGAATTCTTCGTAATTTGTTCACTGACATTCCAAGATTCACTGCCATACAGCAGAACAGGTTCTATGTAACATTTTAGCACTCTCTTTCTGACATTAAATGCTAGCGATTTATTGCGTAAGATATTTTTCATTTCTTTGACATGCAGCTTTCACTTGACCTATTCTGCTTTTAATCTCTGTCACATCTCTGACATCTTTTCTTCTTCTTCTTCTGCCTTTCTATTCTTCAGTGGAGCATTGGCCCTAAGCCAACTCACACCAAGTCATTCTATCCTTCGCCATTACATGCAGCTCTCCCCATGTCCTCTCCATCTTTCTAACTTTATTCTCCAGCTCTCTTCTCCATGTGTTTTTTTTTGGCCTTTACTCCTATACCCCTGTGTGTTTCAATGCAAAAACATTTTGGTTATGCTGTTCTCCTGTTTTCTCACTGTTTGTCCTATCCAACGCCAGCATCTTTTCCTCACCTCTTGGTCCACTGGAGCCTTTTTAGTTCTCTCCCAAAGTTCTACATTTGTTATTCTATCATACCATTTAATTCCCTCTATTCTGCGCAGGCACCAGTTAATGAATGTCTGTAATTTATTAGTAATTGCCTTAGTTGTTCTCCCTGTTTCCGCCCCATACAAAAGTACTGACTTAACGTTAGAATAAAAAATTTTTTGTTTAATATTTCTTCTAATTTCTTTTGACCTCCACAAATTCCTTAGTGCTATGAAAGCTCCTCTTGCCTTTTGTATTCTTATTTTAATATCTCTATCAGTTCCTCCATTACTGCCCAAATAAGTGTACTACTCCACGTCTTGGAGTGGGGTGCCATTGAGAGAAACCACATTATTTTTTGCCTGATTTATTCTAATTATCTTTGTCTTTCCTTAATGGATTTTCGGACCAAGCTGCTGTGATCTCGCATCAAGTATATTTAATTTATCTTGCATCTGATTTCGTGAATGTGACAGAATAGAAATATCATCAGCAAAGTCCAGACATCTTTTGCCCATCAGTAATTCACTGTAGAGGATGGACTTAGGGACTTATCATCTGACATTCTCTAGGTGTGACTCATCCACGGTGAACACATACAGTTTCCTCAAACCCCTAATTGCTCACCTTTTATAACATGCTTGTTAGCTGACAGAGGGTAATTTGTCATTTGCAGGTTCAGTGCGAAGACAATGGCTTGAATCATTACAGAAGTCTACTGTTCGTGGAGTCACCTTTATTTTTGTTCCGGGATACGCAGGCATCGTTGGAAATGAAAGAGCTGACAGGTTGGCTGGATCCGTTATCACTACTGATGGTCAGCCTATGGATCATGCTGATATTATTAATGCCCTCAGAGAAATGGGAAGGATAGAGGACTTTGGTGGCAGTGAATCCACATCACTTGCCAGAATGGCAGACTTGGGAATTAAGATCGGCATAGCAAATAAACAAGACGCACACCAGACACGCCAGAAGACTTGTTAATCAACATAGAACTGGTACTATTAGCCATCGGACGTTGGGGTTCATACTGAGGGAAGGATCTGAGCACCTATGGACATGTCCGGAGTGCAGTGACGATAACCCAACTAACTAACTAACTAATTTGTGTATGTGAGTGTGGGGGTGCACGTCTCAAAATCTGTCCCTGGAACCCCAGAAACCATTGAACTAAACCCACTGTCTTCATAAGGAAACATACCAACCATTATGCTAATATGGCTGCTTCTGTTTCAGCAGTTACTGAAATTCAAAAATATTTGCAGTCCTATACAGGCCTCTAGTTTCAAGGAAAGACAGAATGCGAAATCACGAAACCAGACGAATGCTAGGAATAAAGCCAGTCTTACAGGTCATCAAAGAACAACAAATGAAGTGGTTTGGACACCTAACAAGAATGCCCTGGTACTATCTGCCACAGCGAGCCACACTAAAACATTACAACGGGTATAGAGCGAGTGGAAGACCTAGGAAAATATGGAGTGATGGCATAAAAAACAGCCTTACAGAAATGAGCATCAGTGGTAATAGTGCTCTTGACAGAGCTCATCAATGAATGTTACATCTCCTTCCAACACTTCGATGAGGTACGAGGTAGAAGAGAAGAAGAAGAAGAAGAAGATACAGGCCTGTTTAAATGGTTAATGATCATAACAGTAAATTGTGTTCTAGATGGCCACCCATCCTGGATACTATGCAGACGCTGTGAGACAAAGTCAGGGCCATCCCTCAGCAGTCACTGAAGAAATAGAGAAAGATCTATACAGGTAGGATTTGTTTGCTGAGGAAAGCTCTGTGACTATTCCATTGTATACGTAGAGTACAGTACCTACCTTCTCAGTCACATTGAAGCAAATGTCTATAGCCACGCTTGGATGGTTTCCTCTGAGCATCATTCTCTGTGTTTAAAGAAAAAAAAAGTATCTGCATATCCTTCATCAGGGCTTTTCAGCAAAGTTTACTCAGGAGCCTACATTTTGAAACGAGGGTTCGCCACCGGCCAAAGGCTCAAGCCACAGGATAGAAAAGTCAGTAATACAATACAGCTGGCAGTTATCCACGGGGTACTTGGTAGATTGATCACTGTTGCTCCTGTGCCAGGGACTTGGTAGATCCCGCAGCCTGCCAGTTGAATAGTCCTGCCCACATGATGTCACAGAACAATCCCAGTATTTGTGGCAGCTTTTCCTGTCTTCCAGATATTCCATTGTGTGGTTAATTTCTGGTTGTAACCAGCTTTTGTGATGTTGGAAAAACAGCTTTCCTCTGTGTAATTTTCTTGGACAGTATGTCATCAACATCACAGCATTTATTAAAGCTGTGTATACGTAAAATAGCCATATGAGTATCTATCCTGAAAACAAAAATCATCATTTACCAGAACCAGCAAACATCTTAATATATAGTATGAACATAAGAAGAAAAATGTCTCCAATGAAATGTTACCAGTGAATACACAAACCAGCAAAAAACAGTCATAGATCATTTCTCTACCAGCAGTAGAAGATGGATAATCTCCTAACTGTCCTAGATGCTGTAAATAGGATCAGCACCTTAGATACAGAAAGATAGGAATCGTATCTCAGTGACTGAGTTCCAGACCTACATATCAGTGGCAGAAATAAATTACCTGAGATGTTTCATCTGCCGGATACAATTCTAAGATTGTGTGTGAAATACAGCCCCTCAAAGGAAAACATGATGTCTGTAATAATTATTGTGCTCATCTGGAGGCAGATGTATGACTGTTTTGTGCATTTGGCCATACTGCTAGGGTTTAGGCTGCTTGAAAAACAGAGTCAAAGTTATCTTACAAAACTGGACTCGTCTCTCTCTCCTAGGGACCTGAAGTGAATGCTGGGATTCCTGTGATCTCAGCTAGGTTTAGCCACAAAGTTGCTGGGTTCTAGTAGCAAACTACTGGCAAAAGAGATGGCCTCTGAGTGGCAGGAAATTGTAAACTAGACAAACTGGGTAATTCCCTAACAGCACCCTTATACACATAGGGATATTCCTCTATGTCATCTACAAACAAAATGATGTCATCCTTGATGTAGCCAAAAGGAAAACATCAAAAGGGTGGTATGTCATTCCAGGTATCATTGTCCACTTGAAGCCGTATCTCGCGACAGCCCATAAATATAATAGTTTTATGTTTGCAAGGTGCATTTTTTAAGTAAGCCCGGGTATAAAAATTTACACACACACACACACACACACGCAGCGCACACGCACACACACACACGCACGCACGCACAGAGAGAGAGAGAGAGAGAGAGCTTACTTTGCTTGTTTGGTGGATAGACTCCTTCAGCATTTCCCACTGATCATTTATGGTTTGTATTTTTGGTATTGCATTGTACATGTTCCTCACAATCACTCTATATCGCTCCTGAATGTCTTTATCCTCTCTTAGAATATCTTTGTTAAGTCTACAGTTTTTCATCTCTTTCTTTCCCCTCTTCAGTCGTACATTTAATTTTCCACATAATAGGACATGGTCACTGGTACAGTCAGCACTAGGTCTTGACTTCACATCTGTTAGTGCATTTCTGAACCTTTTGTTAATTCGAATATAGTCTATTTGATTGGATGTTTTCTTTTCTGGACTTTTTCACATGTATAATCGTCTCTTATGTTGTTTAAACCAGGTGTTTCCAAACATCATATCATTTATTTTCGCCCACTCTACCACTGTTTCACCTCTTTCATTTCTTTATCCTAAACCATAATCCCTAATTATTTCTTCCATTCTCTCTTTGCCAACTTTCGCATTAAAATCTCCCAATATTACTTTAATTTCTTGTGATTTTGTTTGATCTAATATGGTAACCTATTATTAATATAATCACTTAATCTGTAATAGAGATTTCCTGTATAATATAATCAGCTTTAACATTATCTCAATTACCTATAAAATATAAAATAATATATAACTTTTACATGATTATCTATAAAATAGTATCAGCTTTTTATAAATATTATTACCTGAAATGAAAAACATGGCTTCATTTTTAAGATAATTACCAATCAAATATAATTTAATTTCTTTTTAAACATAATTACCCATAAAACTTTGAACTTAAACTACATTAACAATGGTGAGTTCTTTTTTTTTTTTAAAGTGTCTTGCCATTGTTTAATTCAGTTTAACATTTGTATTTTTTTTTGAAAAAATCACAGCCAGTTCAAGTTATCCTCTGAATAACAGTCCCAAATTATCAAGGCTAAGAAAATACCCTAACAGGGCCTCAATGTTTGTGACTGTGCTGCCAAGAAACAGTGCTAAATATTCAGTAAACAACGTGACGTCACATCCATGTAATTTCTATCCATAAGCCTTCAATCGATAGTGTCGCGGTTCCACTGTTGTGATAGATTCTCTTGGCAGTGTTGTAATTGCAATGCTCCTTACCCTAACCCTGAACCTAGGACTGAGGGGAGATGTTAAACCTAGGACCCAGGGGAGAAGTTAAACCTAGGACCCAGGGGAGAAGCTAAACCTAGGACCCAGGGGAGAAGCTAAACCTAGGACTCAGTGTCGTAGCTGTTGACACCCTTGACGATTTGGGACCGTTATTCAAAGGAGTGATTCCCGTGGTATATTCGCTGGAAAGAAGTCTGCAATTTAGGTATGATTGAGGCCCTGTTAGGGTATTTTCTTAGCCTCGATAATTTGGGACTGTTATTCGTAGGACAGCCCTAGTCCATATCACAGCATGTCAATAATTTATACTTGTTACTCACTGGCTGAACAGATCTCTAGGTATTCACATCACATTTTGCCCTCATTTCTGATCCATAAAGTATACTAATTTTGGGGGGTTTAAAACTTACCATTTTACTAACAGATCTCTAGGTATTCACATCACATTTTGCCATCATTTCTGATCTATAAAGTATACTAATTTTGGGGGGTTTAAAACTTACCATTTTACTAACAGATCTCTAGGTATTCACATCACATTTTGCCATCATTTCTGATCCATAAAGTATACTAATTTTGGGGGGTTTAAAACTTACCATTTTACTAACAGATCTCTAGGTATTCACATCACATTTTGCCATCATTTCTGATCCATAAAGTATACTAATTTTGGGGGGTTTAAAACTTACCATTTTACTAACAGATCTCTAGGTATTCACATCACATTTTGCCATCATTTCTGATCCATAAAGTATACTAATTTTGGGGGGTTTAAAACTTACCATTTTACTAACAGATCTCTCCCAGAACATCCTGCATTCCAGAGTGATCATGGGATTGGGGCCTTGAGACGAGTGCTGACTGCATATGCTTGGAGAAATCCAACAATTGGTGAGTGATTCGGAGAGAAACAGTGTATGAGGTCACACTTGTAGTGTTAAAAATGAGGAAATTCAATGTAAATTGAAGTTTACTATGTCATACGCTTCCATAATACTTTGTCGTGAATTATATGGCAGATCATATCTGAAGGCAAGCAAGAAAGGACAGGTATAAACAATTCTGAACTAATATTACAAAACAGACACCTGCAGCAATTAAACAGCACTCTTTTTGGTATGTTCCCTGTCACATCTTTCACTGAAAGATTCATTTATTTTGTTTAAATGATGCTTTTTTTTAGCTGTAGATAAGGTGGTGTTGGTTGCTGATTCTGCTCTGTTAATGCTTCACTTATTTGGTTCTGCTGCTGCAGGAGGCTGTTTGGAAGTAGTCTTCAAGGTCATAAATAATGAGCCCTATCGTAGGTGCAAACAAAAGACCTTAAGGCCAGCTGGCAGATATCTAGCTATTGTTCTACCACGGCTGCCTGTATCCAGTAAGATTAATTTTAAGTAGGACTGTGTATCTTAAAAAATAGTTTAATAAAAAATATTTTATAACTCTAGTGATATTAAACCTTTTAGTCCCAGAAAGGTATTCATATCCTAAGAAATTATCACTTAAATTAGTACACGTTCAGGTCTAAAACAGTTACAATAATAACACATTGGAACAGAAGAGTTCAAGAAACAGCTATAGCATAATAGGTTAATTCCACAGCTGGATGGGGCCTGAGGAATTAACAATAATTACATCATATAAATAGAAACTGTCAAAGGTGTTGTGAGTTCCTCTTGAACTAAGTAAAAATAGTAATTTAAACAATGACATCCTCTTCAACCTGTCTGAATTATAATTGGGATATATATATATATTTTTTTAACTTTATTTAAAATTTATGCTTGCCAGCTACTTTTGGTTATTTAATGATACGTAGACTAAATATTAATTGTAACAAATTGCAGGAATGTAGATAGTCAAGTTTAGTATATTTTGTTAAAATGTACTTTAAAAAAAATTTGGACATGCATAGACTTCAATGCTAGAACTCTGCATGTTTTATATTGCAGGTTACTGCCAAGCCATGAACATTGTAGCCAGTGTGTTACTGCTGTATGTTAGTGAAGAGGAGGCATTTTGGCTTCTGACGGCCATTTGTGAGAGGCTGTTGCCAGATTATTACAACACCAAGGTGGTTGGGGCTTTAATAGATCAAGGTAGGAACTTAACATTATTGAAGCTTGGATTCTGGTTTGAAGAGAGGAGTAAACTGTTTTGTAACAGACACATTTTTGTTGTTCATATATGTCAGCTTTATGTAAACTATGTGGCTGAAAATGAGGTTATTCTGAGTAGTTTCTGTTGCTTTGCCTGATATATGCATGTGCTTTCATTTCATAATGCACTGTTTCTTGGGCTTGCATGTTTTACTGAAAACAGCAAATTTGTGCACCGAGAACCATGGGCAGTAACAGTTCGCTGGTAAAAATAGTTCACATTGTGGCTTGAGTATTCTACTGCAACTTGCAAATCAGAGTAAATGTGTAATGGTTTATCAGCATCTTTCCGTCTTTTCAGATGATAGTGCTATAGTGTGTTGTCCATCAAGATGATGATGATGACCACTCTTTTTTATCAAGTATATGAGTACGATGATGACTGACGAGGCCGATGTGGGCACGAAAAGTTCTTGGACAGTGAGGACAGGGAATGAGTGAGGGGATCTCCTGCAGTCGCCTTCCTGTCCATTCTTTTTCTAATCAGTGCTATGCTGTGCTATAGTAAGGCAGGGGAATCGCAGCTTGTGGCGGTAGTGAGTGGGACCAGCAAGACCTGCTTGCATTCAGAAATCTCTAGCACATTTATAGCATGGGGTTTCTGGCTCATTTAGGCAATTGCACGACTGTAACGTGCTTCTTCTCAGATGTTCAACCAGTAACTATCTACCCTCATTTTCCTTTATTTCTATTCCCTTCCTGGTTCCCCCCCCCCCCTTTTTTTTTCCTTTTCTCCATGCATCACAGTCCATGGCATTTTGTTCCCATGAAACTATCTCAGATAGAACTAGAACCTTAACCTGTGTGGCTCTCTCTCTCTCTCTCTCTCTCTCTCTCTCTCTCTCTCTCTCTCTCTCTCTCTCTCTCTCTCTCTCTCTTTCTCTCTGTCTCTCTCTTCTCTCTCTGTCTTCTTTCTTTCCTCTTTCTCTCTGTCTTCTCTCTTTCCTCTCTCTCTCTGTCTCTCTCTCTCTTTCTTTCTTTCTTTCTTTCTTTCTTTCTTTCTTTCTTTCTTTCTTTCTTTCTTTCTTTCTTTCTTTCTTTCTTTCTTTCTTTCTTTCTTTCTTTCTTTCTTTCTTTCTTTCTTTCTTTCTTTCTTTCTTTCTTTCTTTCTTTCTTTCTTTCTCTCTTTCTTTCTTTCTTTGTTTGTTTGTTTGTTTGTTTGTTTGTTTCTTTCTTTCTTTCTTTCTTTCTTTCTTTCTTTCTTTCTCTCTTTCTTTCTTTCTTTGTTTGTTTGTTTGTTTGTTTGTTTGTTTGTTTCTTTCTTTCTTTCTTTCTTTCTTTCTTTCTTCTTTGTGGTTATATCTTAACCTCAGTGTCTGCCTGTCTATTTGAATGTATATGTATGTGTGTTTGTTTGTGTGTACAAGTGTGTGTGTGTTTATGCATGCAAGTATGCATTTTAATATGAATTTAGTACTCAAAATACAGAAGGAAGTAAACAAATTCATAGAAAGTATTCTTTCAATGCAGGAAGTAAACGGTCACCCTAGTACTGCCTGCTTGCTAGGGAAGTGGCAGGGGATGTCCTGATGGAGTCCATACACCTGGCGCCACCCCCACCCGCTAACCAGACGTTCCACATTCACGACTGTTGTGATTATCTATAGAGATGGCCCTGTGTTGAGGGGCACACGAAGTGCATGGGGGTTCACAGCAAAAGCAAATGGACATGGCTGAGTGCAAAAAAGCCTCACATATGATATCACAATGTCTAGTTCGAGAATGGAGGTGGAGGCAGTCACTGCTGCCTTCCACTGACTTGAGAATCAGCTGTACACACATGGCATGATTGTAACTGACTCACATTGTGGTGAATTGATGTATGACAAGCTAGATATTGGGAGGGCCCTTTGGGAGCGAGTGAACAGAGTGTAGGAGGCACAGATAGGTCATTATGGTTTGAGAAGAATGGCTCTGCGAGGAGTTACCAGGAAATCTGGCAGGAAATCTTCTTGGTCTTTCTCTGCCTTTTGATGTTTTCAGTTTTATGGTGTACACTCTCGCTGCTGCCATCTGGGAATACTTATGACTTTTTTTTTTAAGTGATAAACACCCTAAAAAATACATTAAAATTACAAGTAAATTATATTCTAAAAGTCCGCCTGCTTTTTTTTTTGTTTCCTGCATATTGAAAATCATCCCAGATCCATCTTGCTAACTGCCCACTGTCTCCAGTCTCTCAAAATGGTGAAACTATGGGGGTGACTGCAGTCAAGCTAATACAAGGAATTCCAGAGAAATTTGACTAAAAAGCTCAACAAAATGGGAAAGAGGAAAACGTGCACAAAACAACACAACGTAACGTTTCGGCCGGGCAGCCTTTTTCAAACATAAGTGAAAGACACAAACGAGGAATGGAGAGTATGTAGATCTCTAAGGGGTGATGTGAGCGACGTTTAAAAAAAATGTGATGCGGAATAAATGAAATAAAATAAAATAAACAATGGCTAAAAAATATAGTCACAATACTGGGAATAAAAGAAATACAAGTGTTGAATGATACATAAATGATACTGATAATAAATAGAATAAAGTAATAATATGAAATAAAATAAAATAATTAACATTTAAAATGTGATAAGATTAGAACTATTTAGATGAAGGTATGTTGGATATTGATACCACTTGGACTAAGAACGCCAAGGTTGTGGATAAGGCGATTTACCAAAGCGAGGCGGGTAGCATGATCGCCAGAGCAAGATTTTAATGCTGTGACAGATATGTCATCTTTACCGCCGTGGTCAGGGCTATTAAAATAAAGAAGGATTGGTTTGAGTGTCTTGTCGATATCAGAGATGTGTTCCCAGAAACGATCAGCTAGCTTTCTGCCAGTCTCCCCAATGTATGCCTTGCTGCATCGTTTGCAGATAATTGCATAAATTACGTTGCGGGATTGGCAAGTAAAAGGTTCCCTAATTTGAAAAGGACCATTAGGGAAACTGACCGAAGAAGTCTGGACAACGAAAGGACATGTCTTGCAGGTGCTGCTGGACTCGTTCTGATGGTTAGCTTCCATATCCATGACAATGTTGTTCATGTATTCTCACTTTTGCTACCTGACTACTTTTTTGTTTGTAGCTTCTTTACATTCTATTTCATATTTTACTTCATTTCATATGTTACTAGTATCATCTAGCCAAATCTGCCTGACATTTTTTCTTCTTACTGACTGTAATGTGATAACACCCAGGTCAGTTCTTCAGCTGCTCCAGCTCTATAAACGGTTTAAACATCCCATGTTCCAAATCTCAAAAGTCCTTGAACATTCCAGTTTCTTTGTCCATTTAAATGCATCTGAAATCGAGGCTTAGATATCTGTTTCATGACAATATGAAGTTTGACAAAGGTGGGGGTGTTAGCCCCACGCTTCAACCCACAACCTGGAGAACCAGGGTGTCAGTCTGTCTGTTTTCTACCCTTTGACCTTTGTCTAAAGTACAGTTTGTAAAAATGCACAAACAGATCAGGAGCTTTTAATAAATAATGGGTATTTTGTTAACCCTTTTGCACTTGCAGGTGTGTTCCAGGACTTGGTCTATGAACATCTCCCTGCCCTGTATAACAAGCTGGATGTTCTGGGTCTTCTAAACATGATCTCATTATCATGGTTTCTCACCATTTTTATCAGGTAGACAAGCACATTTGTACAGAAACTGACAAGATGTTTCCATTTGTGTCTTACATTGATATGTTGATTGTACTTAGGCAGAGCAGTCTTTCTGTTCTGTGTAGGTAAAGTATAGTTAAACAGGAATATGTCATTCAGTGGGTAAGTCACACTTTTTTTTCCTTCTTTCTTTCAGTGTAAATTTGTAATGTGGGTAGGCTGGGACATTGTGAAATTATGCTAAAGAAATGGCCACTTAGGTCTACTTCCAAGCTTCTACGGCTGTTGAGATGTTCAGTATTCATAATAAATACAGCATATACATTATGTACAACCTACACATCGTGTACATTGGACACAGCATGTTATTGTATGTAAAATCACTTTAGGGTTTAAAGAATTCATGAAGCCAGGACTTTGGTTGACAGCTTGCGAATGTAAACATTTGGGGCCACTGGAAGATAGTGGATCTTGAGCCACTGGGGAAAAACATGTGTCGCTCGAAGTTTATGATGAACTTGGGGACATCATGTGTATTATGACAGCACGAGTGGGTTGGAAACCCCAAGCATTGGTGAGAATGTAAGATCCACGTGTAAATTGGCGCCTGTGGGGAAAAGTCCTGTGGTAATTTGAATTAGTCAGTTGCTTTCAGTTCTGTAACTGAGTGGACGCTTGTACACGTTTTGTTTAAGTCTTCTTTGTCTTACCCTTGTTCTTTGCTAACAAGCTTACTACTTATTCAGAGGATTTCAAGTTTATTTGGCATATTGTACTCGACCCATTATTTTATAACAAAATCAGTCCTTGGTGGGTCATGCGGTCAGTACCGTGCCAACTTCCACTACTTGTCAGGACATTTTAGGCTTAAGAACCATAACAGCATAGTGCCTAGTTGCTCACCTGATGGCTCGAATGTCTGGGATTCAAATCTGCACCTATGTGGGTTTTTTTTTTCAAGATTGACTTTGGCTTCCAGCACAACCCAACCCAGAATGGATACCAGAAGATGTCCTGATTGCTGATTGGTCTATACAAATATCTGTGTAGCACTATATGCCTGATTCACAGAAGGCACAAAAAGCATTCTTCACTTACTACTTTCTCTATTTTAGACTAAGTCAGCAAGAGAGCGCAAACAACTTTTGTGTTAAAATCTTTCTCAGTGGAACTGGTAATCTGGTAATCCTAGTTTCAGCTTCATAGCAAACGGGTCACCCCATAGTTGCTCCGCTCCTGTGCCAACGAAAAACACATGTAGCTCACAGTGTCACACCATGCACTCAACTCAGAAGCTGGGCGATGAAACTATACGCTTCAGTGGAACTACAAACCTTTGGTCACTGAGCCAGCTAATGGGTGTGTTAGCAACTGTGCCACCATGGTTCCTTGATTTTGATTGTTTAAAGGCTGAAGGACAAAGTGCACTTCTCTAAACAGTCAGTGTCTAGTGTACACATGAGATGAGAGCTTACATTTCACACTCTTCTTCTTTGTGTGTGTGTGTGGAAAGGGGGATCGGGAAAGGTGGTTGAGGGGGGGGGGATATCTGCTGTGTGCTGCTATCACAGTTTAGCAGATGATAGGTAGCCACATTAAAGTGCACCCAGTTGCTTGGTATTCTGTGATATTGTGAAGTCTGTTTGCTGTCAGTGACTCTTTCAGTCCATGTTCTTCTAGGTCTTCCTCTGCCTCTTGTTGTTTTCAGTTTTATGATGTACACCCTCACTGCTGGCATCGTTGGATTCACTCTCACTAAGTGTTCACCAATAGATACAAATTCTTGGATTAATCAGGGATTAGAACCAGTGTCCAAAGATGTAGATGTCAGTGACCCACTCCTAACAATGTCTGTCCCTCCTCCCTTTTAGAGGTCCCGGGTAGTTAGCATCCTTTGGATATTTTCTCCAGGTCACGCCGGTGTGTTGGGAAATGAGCAGGCAGTTAGACGGGCTGGCTGTACACTACTTGGTGGTGAACTGATGTATGGCAAGTTAGATATTGTGAGGGCCCTTGGGGAACGGGTGAACAGTGATCATTACGGTCCGAGACGAATGGCTCTCTGAGGAGTTACCAGGGGATCTGGCTGATGCTTAACACTTAGAGGAGTTACCAGGGGATCTGGCTGATGCTTAACACTCAGAGGAGTTACCAGGGGATCTGGCTGATGCTTAACACTTAGAGGAGTTACCAGGGGATCTGGCTGATGCTTAACACTTAGAGGAGTTACCAGGGGATCTGGCTGATGCTTAACACTTAGAGGAGTTACCAGGGGATCTGGCTGATGCTTAACACTTAGAGGAGTTACCAGGGGATCTGGCTGATGCTTAACACTCAGAGGAGTTACCAGGGGATCTGGCTGATGCTTAACACTTAGAGGAGTTACCAGGGGATCTGGCTGATGCTTAACACTTAGAGGAGTTACCAGGGGATCTGGCTGAAGCTTAACACTTAGAGGAGTTACCAGGGGATCTGGCTGATGCTTAACACTTAGAGGAGTTACCAGGGGATCTGGCTGATGCTTAACACTTAGAGGAGTTACCAGGGGATCTGGCTGATGCTTAACACTTAGAGGAGTTACCAGGGGATCTGGCTGATGCTTAACACTTAGAGGAGTAACCAGGGGATCTGGCTGATGCTTAACACTTAGAGGAGTTACCAGGGGATCTGGCTGATGCTTAACACTTAGAGGAGTTACCAGGGGATCTGGCTGATGCTTAACACTTAGAGGAGTTACCAGGGGATCTGGCTGATGCTTAACACTTAGAGGAGTTACCAGGGGATCTGGCTGATGCTTAACACTTAGAGGAGTTACCAGGGGATCTGGCTGATGCTTAACACTTAGAGTAGTTACCAGGGGATCTGGCTGATGCTTAACACTCAGGGGAGTTACCAGGGGATCTGGCTGATGCTTAACACTCAGGGGAGTTACCAGGGGATCTGGCTGATGCTTAACACTTAGAGGAGTTACCAGGGGATCTGGCTGATGCTTAACACTTAGAGGAGTTACCAGGGGATCTGGCTGATGCTTAACACTCAGGGGGGTTTCCAGGGGATCTGGCTGATGCTTAACACTCAGAGGAGTTACCAGGGGATCTGGCTGATGCTTAACACTTAGAGGAGTTACCAGGGGATCTGGCTGATGCTTAACACTTAGAGGAGTTACCAGGGGATCTGGCTGATGCTTAACACTTAGAGGAGTTACCAGGGGATCTGGCTGATGCTTAACACTTAGAGGAGTTACCAGGGGATCTGGCTGATGCTTAACACTTAGAGGAGTTACCAGGGGATCTGGCTGATGCTTAACACTCAGAGGAGTTACCAGGGGATCTGGCTGATGCTTAACACTTAGAGGAGTTACCAGGGGATCTGGCTGATGCTTAACACTTAGAGGAGTTACCAGGGGATCTGGCTGAAGCTTAACACTTAGAGGAGTTACCAGGGGATCTGGCTGATGCTTAACACTTAGAGGAGTTACCAGGGGATCTGGCTGATGCTTAACACTTAGAGGAGTTACCAGGGGATCTGGCTGATGCTTAACACTTAGAGGAGTTACCAGGGGATCTGGCTGATGCTTAACACTTAGAGGAGTAACCAGGGGATCTGGCTGATGCTTAACACTTAGAGGAGTTACCAGGGGATCTGGCTGATGCTTAACACTTAGAGGAGTTACCAGGGGATCTGGCTGATGCTTAACATTTAGAGGAGTTACCAGGGGATCTGGCTGATGCTTAACACTTAGAGGAGTTACCAGGGGATCTGGCTGATGCTTAACACTTAGAGGAGTTACCAGGGGATCTGGCTGATGCTTAACACTTAGAGGAGTTACCAGGGGATCTGGCTGATGCTTAACACTTAGAGGAGTTACCAGGGGATCTGGCTGATGCTTAACACTTAGAGGAGTTACCAGGGGATCTGGCTGATGCTTAACACTCAGGGGAGTTACCAGGGGATCTGGCTGATGCTTAACACTCAGGGGAGTTACCAGGGGATCTGGCTGATGCTTAACACTCAGAGGAGTTACCAGGGGATCTGGCTGATGCTTAACACTTAGAGGAGTTACCAGGGGATCTGGCTGATGCTTAACACTTAGAGGAGTTACCAGGGGATCTGGCTGATGCTTAACACTTAGAGGAGTTACCAGGGGATCTGGCTGATGCTTAACACTTAGAGGAGTTACCAGGGGATCTGGCTGATGCTTAACACTTAGAGGAGTTACCAGGGGATCTGGCTGATGCTTAACACTTAGAGGAGTTACCAGGGGATCTGGCTGATGCTTAACACTTAGAGGAGTTACCAGGGGATCTGGCTGATGCTTAACACTTAGAGGAGTTACCAGGGGATCTGGCTGATGCTTAACACTTAGAGGAGTTACCAGGGGATCTGGCTGATGCTTAACACTTAGAGGAGTTACCAGGGGATCTGGCTGATGCTTAACACTTAGAGGAGTTACCAGGGGATCTGGCTGATGCTTAACACTTAGAGGAGTTACCAGGGGATCTGGCTGATGCTTAACACTTAGAGGAGTTACCAGGGGATCTGGCTGATGCTTAACACTTAGAGGAGTTACCAGGGGATCTGGCTGATGCTTAACACTTAGAGGAGTTACCAGGGGATCTGGCTGATGCTTAACACTTAGAGGAGTTACCAGGGGATCTGGCTGATGCTTAACACTTAGAGGAGTTACCAGGGGATCTGGCTGATGCTTAACACTTAGAGGAGTTACCAGGGGATCTGGCTGATGCTTAACACTTAGAGGAGTTACCAGGGGATCTGGCTGATGCTTAACACTTAGAGGAGTTACCAGGGGATCTGGCTGATGCTTAACACTCAGGGGAGTTACCAGGGGATCTGGCTGATGCTTAACACTCAGAGGAGTTACCAGGGGATCTGGCTGATGCTTAACACTTAGAGGAGTTACCAGGGGATCTGGCTGATGCTTAACACTTAGAGGAGTTACCAGGGGATCTGGCTGATGCTTAACACTTAGAGGAGTTACCAGGGGATCTGGCTGATGCTTA